GAGTCATTGCAAAGTAAACGGTGACACAGTACAAGTTTAGGCTGTAAGTGTTATTTACATGGTACAAAATATTTTAATAAAATACCAAGTCAATAACTCGGTCAGCAGCATCGTGTTTCTGCTTTGCATGACTTATGAGACCCAGTCAGAGAGCCAGACGTGAGCGTCTGCGTCATCGTTTCTAAAGTCCTCTGTTTTTGCCCGTCCGAACCAATACGCTACCCTGAGTTGAGTTTTAAAATGAGAAAACGGGGTCGGCAACGTTTTCAAACTTCTCCATTTCAGGTCTTCGTTTTCACCATTTTAGTCTGGAAGGGAGGTGCAAACGAAGCAAAAGGTCTCCGTTTTAAAACAACAACACAGTATTGTGGATGGGACTTTATTCTCATAGCGTGGGCTCAAAGTTTCTTTTTTACACCCTTTTTAAGTCCATTCTGAGCTCTGTCAAGAGCTTCCCTGTCCAGAGCACAACTGTGGCTGAACAGATCTTGTGCAGACACTGATGGAGGACTGCACCTGTTTCTGATGTGCCGGCTTTTCTGCACGGCTGGTGTAGACGAGGTTAAAGTTCAGCAGTGGCAACATGGTGTTCTCACACTCAGTAGAAAACAACTGGACTTGTGCTTGCTAGTTTATCACTAGATCATTCTAAAGATTCTGCATGGTTTCTCTGTAGAAGTTACTCCCCTGTCCTCTCCAGCAACAGCTACACATTAGACGAATAAATGCAGACTGCAGAAAATAGTGCTGGGCAGCAATGCATCATCTCTCAGAGAACATACCAGCAGTTGTGTTGAGACACTGTTTCAGTGCTCCCAAAACAAGATGGCCCCACAGGCTTTCCCATTGACGGCTCTGATAGAGAGGATGGCTGTGGTCGAACACAGGACTCTATTATGGGAAAGGAAGTGGAGTCTCTCAAACGAGACAGCTGCTCATTCCCGACCCTGACGGCGTACGAACGCTCCAGGCACCACAGATCCTCGTTTTACCGGCCCCACCCCCCCTGCATCCCGCAGACAGAGCATTAGCCACACATGTCGAGGTTACAGAGGGAAAATACATGCAGGAAAAGGGTCACTGCCTCAGCTTCACCCCCAGAGCTTCCAGGGCAGGAGCTTTGTGTTGGTGTTTTGGTTTCTGGCTGGGAGGAGGTGTCAGGATTAAGATAAAGGCCAGAAAGAAGAGTCTCTCTGGAAAATGGACACATGTGGCTGACTGGATGTTATGATGACCAAGGATGTTATACAGTGTTGGACGGGAATAGCTCCAACTCTTATGAATCTGAATAGACTAAAAAAACCCACATTTTATAGAGATGAACTGCATATTTCCTAGAACATGACATCTGCCCTCAGAAAATGATTGCTAACATAACAGAGAAACCAAAAGGTCAGGGTATTATGAAGCCAAGACATTTCATTTGATGAGTCTAGATTTCAGAACAAATTGATTTTTTTACAATGAGATGCTTAATTTTAATTCCCCAACAGCCTTCTTCCTGTTTTAATAATCTGGCCTGTTGATTCATACTCTGACACCACTGACTCTGCTCTGTGAAATAGTTTACTCAGGTTTAACTGGAATGAGAGGCTCAGGGGTCTTACTGGTGAAACAGCTGGGCCTTGATCCACAGCTCCCAGTCCCAGTCCAGACTCTTTAACATTTCCCTGCTTGTGTGTTGACATTAGCTCGGCTGAGGCCCAGCTTCTTTCATGTCTTTGCTTTGGTAGAAAATCCACATAACAGCAGTTGTTTTCCTCCGTTATTTAAAGGTTCTGTGTTGACGGAATTTCGTGTACGTCTTACATTTACTCATTTATTCATGTAGCCGACACTTTTATCCAAAGCGGCTTACAATTGCTATACATGTCAGAGGTCGCACACCTCTGGAGCAACGAGGGGTTAAGTGTCTTACTCAGGGACACGTTGGTAGATAGGTCACAGTGGGGAATTGAACCCGGGTCTCTCTCACACACACATTCTATGTGATTCCTGGTATTTCTTAAAATTCCTAGAATATCATGGAATTTATTTGTAGAGCCTTTTCAACACAGTAAGATTAGCTATTTTCGTAACCTAATTCCACCGTTGCAAAAAAGTTTTTTTCACTAATCTGTCAACATATGTCATTTACTGTTTGCCAAACATGGTGCAGAACATAGTAAATATAAATGACCATTCATTCTTAAACACATTGTGCAATGTGACATATCCACATATGAACTCTGGTATTTCACGAATCATTGGTGCTACAGCATCATGATAAATTTAAATGGCTTTAACTCTGTGTTTCATTCACACCTTAAACAAAGCTCTAATGTTCCCAGTCAGAATTGAGGTTTTATCAGAAAAATCATGTCCGCCAGCACTATGTGCATTTTGATGCAGATTTAAATTTTCTAAATATTGTTGTATTGGTACAAGAACCATTTTCAAGCATTTGTGGAAGTATAGGATCTTTGAGTGCTCTCTGGTTTTCTTAGTGTGTTTTTTATCCATTAACAGAAATATGCGGCCTGGGTCTTCATTTTCTTTGGTCCTTTGGAAAGTACAAGCGATATCTTTGATGTTCAGATTTCAGGCAATCAGTGGTGATGAATGAGGGAGAGGAGGTGAAGCAAAGCCTTTTGGCACAGAGCCCCTAGTTTAGAAATGGACTAGTAGCTCTGTGGATCAGAGTATGTGCCTGTGTGAAGAAAGCAAGGAGGGGAGAAGGAGTGGATTAAGGGAGGAGGGAGGGGAGGCACAATAAGATAGTATCCCACTGTCAGATGCCTCTTTCCCTCCCCTCAGCAGAGAGAGGGCGGGCGGCACACGCTGCCCACAAAGAAATGGATGTGTGTGTGTGCTTGGGGTCTTTGGTGGTAAAATACCCTTGAAAAGTGTGCTCGTGGGAGGAGAGAGACCCCTCTCTTTCTTTCTCCCCCCAAACCTCCGAGGGTCAGATTCCTCTGGTGGTGCACATGTCCATATGGACCCGGCTGGTAAAGAGCACACGCCTTCTCTTTGTGCACGTTACAATGGAACATCTTCCTTTGTTTGGTTCCTTTTTGTAGCATCAAAGAGCCAGACGTCAGCCACTGCCAGCATCAGAATTAAGTTTATTCTTCTTCAGTTTCTATGTCTGTTTACACATAACTTTTATGTAATAGTTGGCGCTTTATGGCACGGATGCATAAGATATATCAGGCTTTGGATACACACAATACTTGTTAGTAGGATCAATTCACTCATTCTCTTTTAATGGGATTTGTTGAAAATAAGAAAAAAAAAGAATAGTAAAGGGATCAATAAAGGCATACACGAACGCTTTGACAGACAGGTGAACTGGTGCACCCTAATAGCCTGGTGGTTGAGCCTCGTGCACCGCATAATTGCATCCACGGTTTGATTTCACCCAGATACTTTTGCTGCATGACATCCCGTTCTCTCTCCCCATATTACCACTGTCTCTGTCAACAAAAAGGCAAAAGGCCCCCAAAAAAGTCACAAACCACCAACATGAACGCAAAAGCTGACAAAAAGAAGAGTCTCTCGGATGATCAGAAGGTCATTTCTCTGTCAGACTTTATATGCCAAAGTTGGGATCAAAACGCAGCTTCGTTTGAGTTTCCTCTGAGCATCAGATTTATCTTTACCAGGACCTTTTGAATCGTGCCATTTCCCTCTTCAGAGAAGACGGCTTAGTGTTTAAAACAACACACCGCTCACCCCTGAGCCACTGCTGACACTGCAGACCTGAGCTTTACCCTAAAAGTCTGTGTGTGTGTGTGTGTGTGTGTGTGTGTGCGCGTGTGCGCGTATGTGTTTTACTACATCCATTCATCCGCTAACTTTTTCCCAGCCAGGTGCCTCTCTCCGACACACCAGCACGACTCTGTCAGAATGAGGGCTTGTGGGTCAGAGGTTGATCATAGCTTGGTTCACAAAGAGGAGGGGTATCTCACAAAAGTGCAGCGTTTGTTTTTCCCATTAGCATTAGCTTGTCACGCTAATGAATAGCGGCACATGTGGCTATGCGATTTAAGAGGGAATCCACTTCAAGGGCCCCTCCGTTCTTGAGCTCAGTCATTTTTCAACAAGGGGAGCTTTGCAGAGTTTGGCGCTACTAGTCTGAATGTTCCTTGTAATTGGTCTGTTTCCACTAATTGTGCGCTCACTATTTTGGTGCTGTGGTCCCATCCAAAGCCAGAAAATGTTAAAAGACCAAGATAAGAACCTGTAAACATACAGTAAAGACTCAGACCTTCGCCCCAAAATTCCTAGAATTCTCTGCTTATTCCCTGCAAACACAGCAGAGGACACTCTAGTGATTAAATATCCAGCTGTTAGCTGCGGGGGAAACACTGTATCAACCAGGAGCAGTAAACTCGACAGGTCAACAGGAATAAAAGTGTTTTCTAACTCTGCTCTGCTGTCGGTCACTAAAAAGCATCAATAAACATGCAGGTTTACTGGCCTCCTGGGTGACTGTAGCCTGGCTGCAGGTAGAGACCTCTGAAACCCAACACTGCAGAGTTTTCCATGCTTACTCAACAGCAAAGACCTTCCTATTGGTTAGAGAAAGGTCAGTACCATTGTAATGCCATGGTAACAACACTGGTGGCTAATACAGCTTCTAATGTCAGCACAGTACAACGTATTGGATTACATTACCTCAAAATCCCATTTTCTTGAGATCACAAAAGAATATCTATAAATAAATAATCTGTCCATGATGTCAACAAGACGTTTTCTTTATGATTTCTGTCAACTCAGCTAGGAAAACAACTTAATAATGTGGCAGTTTGTTTTTGTACATCAGATGCTACAATATTTAGACATTTTAAGTTTATTGTGGTAAACTCTGCCCATCTTGGATAATCTCAAGATGCTTTTTAACGTCTGGTTTAAAGTATTTGGTTGGTTTCCTGTTTTCTAGCCTCTTGTATTTGGATTTGAATTCTTCAGTAAGGAGTTAACGTGGTAAGAAAAACTAATTTTTTCTTCTCCTGCAGGGTGACCGGGTGTGGTTGCGGGAGGAGGAGCAGTACCTTCCCAGCACGGTGTCCTCATGCTCTGGAGGTGTTGTTGTCTTTGCAACAGACTATGGCCAGGTAAGAAGCAGTAAGGTTACTTTATGTGACCCTCTCTCTGAAACTGATGGTTGAATCTCATCAGAACTTTCTATCCTCTTTCAACCCTTTTCAAAGAACGTTTATTTAAAACTCCAGGACTTATCCTGCGTTTTGACTTCAGGATCTCAGTAACAGTTTTATTTTATGGGCCATTCTTGTCCCCTACAAAGTCCCTGCTTCTGTTGTAGTATTTTGTGATGGTCTAGAAAGTATTGGGATGGAGTTTTCAAATGGGTCCAGACTGTAACAACATGTATACATAATCATTCATGTTGCAAGTACATTAGGAGAAAGGCATTTCTTTTATTGACATGAAGTGAGGCAACGAAACGGTAACCTGAGTTTATGTGCTAAGTCTAGTAACTTACTGAAGCATAAAACAAACCATCACATGACAAAGAACAACAGGATTCTGTTGTTGTTGTCTTGTCACGTGCCAAACTTGTCCCAAACCATGTGATGTTTTTAAAAAAAATTTCATTATTGGTCTAATTTGCATAATATTCAGTGCTTCGGATATGGTGAAGTAACAAAAATCAATGCTTTAAAGGAGCTTTAGTTCACAAGTTAGGTCTTTGTTTTAGTTTCTGAGGCTTATATTTCCTCTGACTACCTACTTAGAAGGAAAGGCCTAATATTCTGGCTGTTCCTAAGCTGACCTTACTGTCCCATAGAAGCAAAAATGCCAGGTGAGGTTGACCGTTTGCTCTGCTGACAAGGAAACTCCCCGTTTTTCCCATACCTCTTCTGATGCTGACACATTTTTTTTCATGAACACGCAAGAGAGCAAAGGCTTGAAGAGGTCCACTTATAATTTGGGATCAGCTCAAGATGCCGCAAATCCCCTCACGCCATATGGTTCTTCATTACGTCTTTGATCCATGTGTTGCCACAACAATGGATATGGGCGAGGTGAAGGACACACACTATGGATCTGGGGTCACAGTGGGTTTTATGTATGTTTTGGGTTGGTTATTAAGAATTAACATGAATCAACTTGTCAAGCAGTTTTAGATGCTAGATTTGACCTAGAAAATGTTAAACTTTATAGTTGGCTGTGATTTTTCCGCTGTAAGGTGTTAAACTCCACAGATTTGAATTGATTGTAAAGTGTTATGAGGGCACCAAGAAGTGTGTATCTTCACACACTGGGATTCTTTTGCTTTGAAGCTTTGCTTTGAATCTAAACACTTAAGCGCTCACGGGGAAGACCGACAAACCTACCAGCATCATGTCGTGTCACCACACCTTGTAGTAATTTCTATGGCGCACACACACACACACATACACACACACACACACACACAGCTGATCTGCCTTGTCAAATCCAACACACTCTGCTATTAGCAGGTTTACGACTCCTTTAGCACATTAAAAAGACACTTTGGATGCAAATGCAAGAGGTGTTGATCATTGCAGCACTTTTAGATAACTCTATAGAGAGAGTATGGAAAGAACATTTGGTGTTTGTCTACACAGTTCCACCACTTATGTTCAGGGATCTGACCCTGAGGTGAACAGGCAGCTTAATTTTAGATTGGTATTTCTCTAGAAACAAACCACCATCAGTGGCTTTAACCAGAGAAAATGAGTGCAGGATTATTTGGATGATTTCTGCAGCTCTCCATTTAACCAGCTCACTGCGGCAGTTTGTTCTTATTCTATTCCTTCCTGATATATTGACTGATCCACTGACCATATACCATGTGTCCTTGTCTAGTGTTGTACAACTATTTTATTTTATAATGCATCACATAATTTAGGTGACAAATAATTTGCACTTTATATTAGGCCTGAACGGTTTGGGGAAAAAAACCTATTGGGATTTTTCTGCCAGATATTGGGATTACGATTTGATTTACACATCAAGCAGCACAGAGCAGCAACCGGACAGGAAGTCGCCTGACGCCATTATCCCACGTTTTCCTCTAGTTTCATTAGTGGTTGTAGTATTGTGCACGCCCTCTGCCCACTCTGATTGGTGAGTAGGACTGTAACAGGAGGCGCTTGTGACCACATTGGTTAGCAAATCAAGGATGACAACGGAATGAATTTGTAACTGCATGACGGTTTGAAACAGGTCAGATGCGCTGTATAATTAACCTACATTTTAATCACCATCTTCACAATTAGCTAATCGCGTTCTTTCAAATCGCAATGTCGATTTGAAAACAATTAATCGTTCTGCCCTACTTTCTATAGCTGCTTTACAATAAAAGCCTCCCGCTGGTTTGCTGGTGGAAAACCTTTCATGCGAAGCAGCAACAACAGGAATAAAAAAGGAGGGGGACAAGGCTGTCACAGGTGGCCCTGGTCAGCCCAGCTACCAAGCCGGACCACAACAGCACAAAGGCTGTAAGGCTGAAGCTGAAACTCGTGTGATTATGAATCGGCACACCACTATGTGGATCCTGACCCAAAGTGGTGCACGGACTCTTTATGGATGTGCCTTGACATTATATTTTGATATTTTGATTTTGCAGGATTCCGAATGGGTATTATAATGTATAAAAAAAATCTGCAAAAACTTTTCTACAAACCTGAAGTAAAGTGAGTTTAGACTACTAACTGCCATCTTTTCTCCAGTTCAATCAAAGCCTTAGAAATCAGGCCAATAACAATGACGTATGTGGAGTGTTTGGGTGCATTTACTCTCCACTGCTCTCCTGTGCTGACAGCTTTAACAAAGACTTCCTGTGTAGCCGGTGAGCAGCAGCAGCAGCAGAGAGGCACTACCAGAAGACGGCCTGTAAATGTTAGCGCTGAGGGATTTAGGGTCATGTTGAGCCAGCGTATTGTCCTGAAGATTTACTGGCAGATTAAGGCATTCTTATCTCCTGGCTCCTACTCCCTCAGAGGTTCTGTTAGACCTGCTGGCCACTGAAGCTAATGACCTCTACACCACAGTTTAGTCTCAACTAGAGGATGTTGATGTTTGCTGTTGTGTAGACAGGCGATGATTTGTGGCTCGATAGGGATGACACACTTTAGTGAAATGGCTGTGCAGTTATTGGACGGATTGTCATGAAATGTGGTTCAGATATTAATGTTCCTCTCAGGATGAATTGTAAATAAAGTATTTAATAAGTCTAATATTTGGGGGGCGGGGGTATGGGGTTGTATACAGACTTTGCATTCCCATCAGCCTCAGCTCTGCTAAATCGGAGATGTTATGGGTTTTTTTTGTTTTTTTTATTTAACCAGGTGTGTCTCATTGAAATTAAAATCTCTTTTGCAAGAGAGACCTGGCCAAGAGGCAGCATAAAAAACAAGCCCCTGTGTTGAAGACGGCAGAATACAACTTTATAAACAGTAACACTGACCAATGTTCACCTGTTCCATATCCTTCAGAGTTGAAACAAACTGTCTATAAGGAATAAAGGCTGTCAGTTTCAACTAGTTCTGAAGAAGGTTCCAAGCAGAAGGTGCAGCAAACATGAAGGCTTTTTTACCTAATTCTGTTCGGACATGGGGGACCAACAAGTGTAGGACGTCCTTTGAACGTAATCCATAATGGCCTTGAGTCCTTGTTAAAAAGATACTCAAATAGGTAGGAGCCAGCAAGAAGTGCCTTTATAGATGAAACACAGACAATGAGCGTACCTTCTTGCATAAAGAGAGGGCCATTTAGCTTTAGCTAACATGCTAAACTATGGTAAACATGGTAAGCTGTATACCTGCTAAACATAAGCATGTTGGCATGCAGATGTTAGCACTTAGCTCAAATAACTGCATAAATACAGCCTCACAGAGCTGCTGGCATGGCTGTAGACTCTTGAAACAAACAGACCTGGAAACAAGTCCTTTGTTCAGATGAAGTTCTGTTGTCTTCTCAAATCCTGTCTATATATATTATTCTTTATTCTTTTAATCATTCTCTCCTCTTTTCTCTCTCTTCTTGTTTCTTTTCCTTTTGTCTTTTTACTTCATTGTTTCCTTTCCCTGGTCTCTTTTGTCTCCTCACTTCTTTTTGTCTCTCCTTGTTAAATATATTTCTTCTTTGTCTGTTGTTTTTTTCTTTTTGTTTCCTCTTCTTGATTCTTTAACTTTTGTCTCTTTTTAATACCTTACTCCTCTTACACCTTATTCCTTTTTTGTGTCTAATCATTAAAAAACTGTACTCCTCTTCTTTTGTCTGCTTTCTTTTTCTTGTTTTCCTTTTGACCCCTCTGTTCTATTCTGTGTCTCTATTTCTTTTCTCTTACTTTTTCATTTAGTCTTGTTTCTTTCTGTCTCATCTCTTTTTGCTTTGTCCCTTTGAGTCTCTGTTAGCTTTTTCTCTCTTCTATTCCCATATTTCTTTTTTGTCTCGTGTCTTTGTCTTTTCTTTTTGTTTACTACTTTTTTTTTGTCTCTCCATTTTAATGTTCTTCTCCTCTTTTCATTTTCTCTTCTCGCCTCCTCTCCTCAATTTAAATTCTGTGGTTTATTCTTCATTTGCTTCATTTGAATAACTTGCAACAGCATTAATCATACATGTGGGTGTTAGTCCAGATGGACTGGAAGGTTTTAATTTGCTCAGCTCAGAGTTGGGATATAAATGCAGCACACAACTGATCTGTTTAAGAGCTTTGAAAGTATTAGCATTAGCTGCTCGTAATCATTTTTACTCCAAGCAACAAACCTCAGTGAGATGAGTGTCAGATGGAAGGAGCAGCCTTACAGAACCATCCTGTAACACAAAAGTTACAGGTTCAGTCCCTGAAACAGACCATACATGTACGCTGTGCAAGACTCCAGCTGCTCACTTTGGGAGAGTCATGACAAAGTGTGTTTGTGTGAGCAGGCATGTGTGTACGCAGTCAAATGTGTGTCTGTCTGTCATGTTGTGTATTAGGATTGTGTATGTGCGTCGTCATCCATGTATTTATACGCATAGGTGTGTTTCTTTGTGTGTGTGCCGTCTGTTGTGTGTAACTGGAGAATGGACGTCACCTGTTCAGCTTCAGAGCAGATGTGGCTCTTTGTGAGGAAAGCCA